TTCCATATTTAATCAAAAGAAAAAATAGCACTGCTCGCTTAAATGAATCTCTTCGCACTGAATTTTATTGACAAATGTCTAACCTCTAAAATGCAGCCAGTTTCAGATGTCAAAATAAATTACACCTACAACTAACGTCATCTAACTGTGAGCCGCAGGAACTAAGTTTACCGCCTAATACAATTTTTTGACCCTGTGTACCGTTAACGAGCAATATTGAATAATAATGCAATATCGAACAACTAACGGGGGGCTGCGCTTCCCGCACCCCCCTTAAAACTAACCTAATCCAACCTATCGTCACATTAACACAAAAGTTGAACACTTTAATAAACAATAACTGACGCTTAATGTGACGATAGGTTGGGTTTGATTAGTTTTTAGGGGGGGTGCGGAGGACACATCCCCCCGCTAGTTATTCGAGATTGCAGTACTTACTAACGAAAGACTGTCGTATTATTTTCGGAGTGACAGATTTCCTAACCTAGTGAGCTCTTAACTTTAACGCTAAATATCTCGTTTCGTGGAAGAGAACGACGATTTTGTTAGAGGAAAAAGTTGTTTCTTTTTAAAAAAAAAAAATGCGTCGATTGAGCCTAGTTTCGTCAAAATCGGAGGTGGTGGTGCTAAACTTTATAATTACCACATTTTTATTTTAATAATAATCTATATTATATAAATATTGCTTTCCACATTTTTATTGTTCATGTGAAATAACTTACAGTGAAAAGTGAAAAATGAAAATGAAATTCACGTGAAAGATTCATGATCGCTACCCAGGAGATGTAGTTGACTTTATACAGTTGGTAACATTCTACTTTGTTATAACTGTGGTGTAACTCTGATCCGGTGGAAACAGGCAAGCCAACCTGACTCTAACTCGATTCTGACCCGATTCAGGGGGTCGATTGTGTATCTCGAAACGGAGTGAAAATTACAAAAGTGAACAAATTCACTAGGCATTGACCAATGAAGTTACAAATATTCTAGTAAATTTGCTCACTTTTATCATTTTCACTCTGTTTTGAGATACACAATCGACCCCCTGATTCGATTTGAACTCTCGGTGGAAATGAGTGATATCCGTTTGACCACGGTGCGGTTTGACACGGTTCGATTGGACACGGTGGATTGGATATCGTGCGATTGGACACCGTGTGATTGGACATCGTGCGTTTGAATACCATGAAATTGGCACATTGTACGATTGGACACCGCATAATTGACACATTGCACAATTGGAAGTAGTTAAAATTGACACACTGCTCGATTGGACACTGCTCGATTGGATATCGCTCAATTGGGCACCGTGCGATTGGGTACCGTTCAATTGGATACTGTGCGATTGAATACGACGCGTTTGGACACCACAAAATTGGCACATTGCATGATTGGACACCGCACGATTTCAATTGTACGCGAAATGATAGCCGACAAAATTGACAGCGCGTTAGGTTAGGAAATTTGTCATACCGACGACATGTCTACGGTATTCACAGTCGAATTTTATTTCAAGACCATCTTAAGTAATAGATTTGTCGAGTTGCTTATACTTTTCACACTTTTACACCTAATGCTCGTTGCACACTAGTGTACCTCAAACAACACAAATTTTCCAAAATACATTCTGAAGATATTTTCAGGACGGAGGGACGTCATCAGAGTATTCTTACGATATTTTTTGAAGGTGTGAATTGTCTGAAAATAGCTAATATCCAATAAGTTTATTCGTATTAATTGAACTTTTTACACTTTTAGTGCACATTAATTCTTTAGAAGTTTTAAAAATGACGTCAAGTTTTCCGTTCGTGTTACGAGTGTAAATGCAATTTTGATACACTTTTCACTCTTGCTTGGGATCAAGTGTAAAAAGTGTATTAGAATTTTATTTACACTCGTAACACGAACGGAAATCATGACGTTATTTTTAGAACCTCTAAAGAATTAATGTGCACTAAGTGTGAAAGTGTAAAACATTCAATTAATGCGAATAAACTTATTGGATATTAGTTATTTTCAGACAATTCACATCTTCAAAGGACGTCCTAAAAATATTCTGATGACATCCCTTCATCCTAAAAGCATCTTCAGCACATATTTTGGAAAATTTGTGTTGTATGAGGTGCACTAGTGTGCAACGGGCATTAGGTGTAAAAGTGTGAATAGTACAAATAATTTGAACAAACCTAATGTCTTAAGATGCGAATATGTTCTTGGTTTATGGCTCTGTGATTGGTTCATGACATCTTAAGACAGTACTTACGATGATTTTAAATATAAGATCGGACTATGAATACCGGCTTGTCTTTAGTCGTGTGACTGGGAGTCTCCCAAACCCCCGCACCGCGGTGGAGGAAGGGCCAATCTTTTATGTGAGAAGTTCTCATTTTTTAAAAAAGTCTTTTCTTCATAAAATTTTTAAAGTATACGTTTTATATGTATAGTGTGAAGAAATTACATTATATTTACAAAAATTCTTTTGTTTATAATTTTGAGATAGTCGATAAGGAACGACGCGATAGTCAATAGATTGGAATAGTGTGCTATCCAATCGTGCAGTGTGCCAATTTTGTGATGTCCAAACGCCTCGTGTCCAATCGCACGGTGTCCAATCGAGTAGTCTGTCAATTTTACGGTATCCAATCATGCGATGTCCAATCGAGTGGTGTCCAATCGCATGGTGTCCAATCGAGCGGTGTTCAATCGGGCATGTTCAATCAAACCGTGTCCAATCGCATCGTGGTCAAACGGGATACGCCCGATGGAATACGTCTATAGTTCACTAGGACGGACAGACTTATTGCTCATTTCAGACTTTTACCAATAGGTGTCAACAAATGCCAGCATTTATCGAAATGGTTTGGTAAAAGATCGAAATGGAAGTATTTACAAGCATTTTTCGAACTTTTACCACCTTATTATGGTAAATGTTAGGATTTACTGATAAAACCTAGAATTAACTAATCTTTGGGCTTTTATAGTAACATACATACATAACTATTTTTATCCCTCTCTTTTCAACTAGGACTAACTGTTTCTCACTTTTTTAACATGTAACAATGGGTGCGTTCCGTTTCCACGCATAATGCGCATGAAGCGCAGCGTTAGAGTGACAGAAATACGAAAGTAAGATAAAATGAGAGGGAGAGCACTCGGGTGAGGTTCTCGAACCTAGTTTAGGTTAGTTCTCGAACGCATGAACTGCATCAGCTCCGAGGTAGTGCAGTCTATGCGATCTCATGCGTTCGAGAACTAACCTAACCTAGGTTCGACAACCTCACCCGAGAGCTCTCCCTCTCTTTTTATCTTACTCTCGTATCTCTGTCACTCTAACGCTGCGTTTCATGCGCATCATGCGTGGAAACGGAACGCACCCAATAACAATGTAATAAATATATAATGTTATTATTTCAGCAATGCCAATGTCCATTATCTAAACAATTGCGTAGAATCTATTGGACCCATAATATGTAACAGTGATATTATAGGTATCGGAAATGGTGGAATAGATCATTCCTATAAGAAAGTTGAAGCAGGGAAAGAAGAATTTAAACTTATAATAAAGAATGCACATACTTCAAACGAAAATAATTTGATTGAGGAACTCATTAATTTCTTAAAATCAAAGGAAAGGTAAACCACACACGCATACATATAAATTTAAATGTGCAATAAAATAACAAATTTTTTAGAATTTAATTCTAATTTTGTAGAGTTCCAGCTATTTGGTAAATGCCACTTAGAATAATATTTAATTTATTAGGTTATTGCAAATAAAATGGCTCTTAACAAACAACAGTTATATAATTGTTAGTTATAACAAAATAAATTCGCACTAAATAAATTTTCCACATATCAGTAAACGTTAGATATTCCTGGAATATTCCGTTTGTTTTCCAGAAGTTCCGTATATACCGGAATATCCCTTACGGAAAAAACTATTGAGTGCGCAATACTTAGTATTGGTTAATACTAAATTGGCCAATACTTTTTTTTGGCAATACTTGTGAATTGATAAATACTAAGTATTTATGAATACTGAAAAATAGTATTGAGTGCGTAATATTTAGTATTTGTTAATACTAAATTGGCCAATACTTTTTTGGGGAATACTTAGTATTGATGAGTACTAAAAAAAGTATATACGTGGAATATTGTTAAAATATACTATCCCTCACAGCACATTAATATTGATTTTAAATAAAATAGCTCTTTTATTTTTGATTTTTCACTATTTTCACACCTGAAAATTTACTAGTCGGATGTAAACTCGAGACCTCAGATACTTCCAAGTTCCTAGTCTATCTTGGCTGCTGCGCTATTAGGATCAACTGATACTGAGTGTTTTTATTATGCCCATATGCAGCCGAAGCACTAATTATAATTTTCTTATAATATTATTTAGTATAACCACAAAAATAAACTATTTATAGTTCTAATATTTCATATAATAAAAAAGAAATCAGAAATATATAGTGTCCTGTACAAGGCGTCCAAAAAGAAAAATATAAGTAGAACAGAAATATAAGTAGAATATTTGTTTAAAAATAAAAAAATATTGTATAGGTCATTTTTCAAATAACCACATAAAATTTCGAGTTATTAAATAAAATAGATGGACAAATCAAAACGCGCGACGCTGCAGGCGGGACTTATGGCTCCTGCCCACAGGAGCCAATACAGGACATACGACTCGCCGTAATCGGCGAAGAAAATGGACGAGCGCACACGTACGGACGCACACACGGAGTTATCCATTTCCGTATGCCAAATCGCCTACTTCTCTGGCCTATAAGATAGGCCCGCGAGCAATCGTCCATTTTTTTCGCCGGCCGCGGCGAGCCGTATGTCTCGCCTGCCGCGTCGCCGTGCTCTGATATGCACAAATATTTTAATTAATATCTCGAAATTTTACGTAGTTGTTTGAAAAATGACCAATACAATATTTGTTTACTTTTATCTGTTCTACCTATATTTTTCTTCTTGACGTCTTATGCGGGATGCCC